TCATTATCCTGCAACATGTCAAAATCTGCAAACCTTCTTGGTTTTTGTATGATTCTCCGTGGTCTTTGAGTTTGTTCTGAAGCTGCACCAGAACTACTACTTTCAGAGTTACCACCTTCAGAGTTTTCCCTTCCAGAACTATGATCAGCACAAGTTTCTGGATCATCATCAGCATCTAGATCAGAATCAGATTCATTTCCAAAATCTTCTTCTGACTCATCTTCATAATCTTCAGGATCTTCAGAATCAGATTCATCTTCTGAACTTTCTAAAACATCTTCAGAGGATAACTCTGGTATTGGCACTGCACCAGAATCTATTTGAGATTTGTTCCAATCCCATGCTTCAGACTCTTTCACCACAACGTCTCAGCTGACTTCAACTTTATTAGTTTCTGGACAATAAAGCTTATACGCCTCTGTACTGTGGTACCCCACCAACAACATTATTTTGCTTCTATCATCCAGTTTTTGTCTTCTAGCTTCTGGAATGTGTTTGTAACATACAGAGTCAAACACCTTCAGATGACTGACACTCTGCTTATCTCCAGTCCATTTCTCTAAAGGAACAACTTCCTTCAGTTTCTTCGTTGGACACCTGTTCAGAATATATGCTGATGTGGCAACAGCTTCTCCCCATAACACGTAAGATAGCTTTTTCTCTTTCAGCATGCTTTTGATCATATCAAGCAAAGTTCTGTTTCTTCTTTCAGAAAGACCGTTGTGCTGAGGGGTATATGGAGCAGTAACCTCATGTTCTATTCCACTCTCCTCACAGAACTTCTGAAACACTGTAGAGTTATACTCACCTCCACCATATGTTCTCAGAATGTTTAACTTCTAACCACTCTGCTTCTCAGCCTTCACTTTGAATTTCTGGAACTCAGTAAACACTTCATGCTTGAACTTGATGAGTGTTACCCATGTCATTCTTGTGAACTCATCCATAAAAGACACACAATAATTATTTCCTCCAAGTGAAGGTACTGGAAATGCTCCACACACATCAGAATGTACTGCTCCTAGAGCATGCTTCGCTCTGGGGGCTACTTCTGATGTAAATGGCAATCTAGGTTGCTTGCCTTTCATGCATATCTCACATGACTTCTCAGGCTTCAAAATTTTCGAAATACCATGTACAAGCTTCTTAGAACATAGATGCCCTAAGCTTCTATAGTTCAAATACCCTATCCTCTTATGCCATAACTTACTGCTACCTTCAGCGTCTTCAGCACAAAGGCACGTTGCTTCAGTTGTTTCTACATTTATCTTGAATATTCTGTTGCCTCCTTGTTCAGACTTCATAATTAACTTCTGATTGGAATCATACAACGTTAGAAGATTGTTTTTCATAACAACTGAGAAACCTTTCTCAATCAGCTGACCTACGCTCATCAGATTGCTTCTAATACCAGGAACATACCAAACGTATTTGATCAGAATGTCTTTCCCATTCTTCACTCTAACTCTGACACCTCCCATACCTTCTGCATTAAGATACTTATCGTCAACACATCTGATCTTTGTTCTCCTTCTGGAGTCAAAGTTTGTCAGCCATTGTTTGTTTCCAGTTAAATGATTTGAACAACCAGTGTCCATATACCACCAATCTGATGAATTCAGATCATCAGGTTCAGAAACCAACAATAGCACAGGTTCATCATCAGAGTCTCCTCTTGCTATATTTGCTTCTTCTGACTTCCTTTCTTTCTTGGACCTACAATCTCTGGCAAAATGGCCAAATTGTTTACAAGAGTAACATTGAACCTTCCTTTTGTCATACCTCTCCTTTCCTTTATGATATTTCTTATCATCAGAAGTTAAGGCTTCTGACTTCTAGAATCTATCACCACGTCCATTCTGCTTCTGGTCTTTCTTGACAAAAGAAGCTTTCAGAGCTTGCTCAGCTTCCCTCTCAGAAGTTCTCTCAGACAAAAGTAACTCCTGTGCTTCTAAGCTGCTCTGCAATTCTTCTATTCTCATAGTTGCCAGATCTTTAGAATGTTCAATAGAAACAACAATGTAATCAAACTGAGGAGTAAGCGACCTCAGAATCTTCTCTATGATTACCTGTTCAGACAGAGTTTCTCCACACGCCTTCATCTCGTTAGTGATCAGAATCACTCTGGAGATATATTTAGAAACTTTCTCACTGCTCTTCATGTTCAGGTTCTCATATTGCTTTCGCAAGGATTAAAGCTTCACCTTCTTTACTGATGAGTCACCACCGTAATATCTCACCAGTAAATTCTACGCCCTTTTGACGTTGTTGAATCAACAATCTTCTCGAACACACTTTCATCCACACACCGATGGATATAGAACAGAGCTTTCTGGTCCCTCTTCCTCATCATCCTCTCAGCAGTTCTCTGTTCTTCAGTTGCATCTACTGCAACTGGTACATAACCATCTGTAACCAGATCCAGAACATCTTGTGCACCAAACAGCACACGCATTTGTATCATCCATCTGTTCCAATTTTTGCCATTAAAAACTGGAAGTTTGGTGTTCAAACTACCATCTCCACTCATTTTAAACCTTGCACATATTTTTCAGATCTTCAAACACACTATTTCCCAACCCACATAATCAAATTCTGTTCAGATTTTGTTCAAGATTTCAACAGAAAATCAATGAACCAAAATCAAACACACAGCTCACAAACACTTGTGTTTCCCAGGAAAAACAGAACCAAGTGCTCTAAATACCAATTTGTTGGTGCAATAATGAAAGAGAGAAGAAGAATGAAGAATGAATGATAACAAAGAGGACTACTTTTGTATATCAAATAGAGGAATGAATGAGTTACAATATTGATAGCCTAGGTAACATATTTATACTAAAATTGAAAAATGCCAAAAGACCTTATTAAAGAATAAGCATTGAGAATTGTAGACATTAACTAAATTACATTATCTAAATGCACATGAGAGAGAGAAATTGTAGGCTTGTTGTGACATTTTCACGTGGGAGAGGTGGTGCAGGGTGGAGTCTGGAAAAGAAACCATCAACTTGTTTGTATGGGTGTTCAAAATCGAATCAACCTAATATAAAATCACAAATCGAACTAAACTAAATTGAAATTGTAAAAAATCATATTTGGTTCGAATGTGATCGAGTCATCTTTTAACAAAATCGCATGGTTCGGTTCGATTTGCGGTTTGTATTTTGCAACAGAATCAAACCGAATTAAACCACATTATTACAACCTAAATTTTACTTAACTCGCATCCAACCCAAACCTAAACCTATTATACCTTAACTTTATGATTACAAAGAATTTTTTCATTCTTAACGTATGATTTCAGTTTTAGTCTTCTCAAATCTCTCATAACATTATCGTCCATTCTTCGCCACATACATCTTCCTCTTTTTTTTCTAATATCGACTCTCTTATATTCTTTCTTTTCACCTTCTCATTTTTATCACAAATGTTCTCTTTTTTAATTTCGTTTTTATCGCACATCTTCTTCTCCAAGCTGTTCTCTCTTATCTTCTTTCTTTTTCCTCTTCACTTATATCTCATCTCTTCAATTTTTTTATGTTTCATTATAATATTTTTGATATTGTGTTATGCTATTATTTTATATTTATTATTTAACTTTTTTCTAATCTAATTTTTATATATTAAATGAGAAATTGTCCAAATAAGATGAATTTTGTTGTTATTTTAGTATATGAATGACTAAATACAAAGTTATGTTGTATGTATAGCTCAATAATATATTTGTAAAAAATCGAACTGAACCAAACTATATTAATTTGATTTGATTTGGTTTTTTCTAAAAGTAAACTGTACCAAATCAAACCGCAAACTTTTTCCTGCAAACAACGCCCAAACTACACCGCAAACATCCCTACTTTTATTATAAAGAAACTCTTTCTTTTCCTTTCATTGTTTCTCTCTCTTTTTCCATTTTCTTTTCTCTCCATCTCACGTTCTTTCTGCTTCTCTTTTTCTTTTCATTTTTTCTTCTTCTTGTTAAATGATGTTCTATCATTCACACTCTATCACATTTTCTGTATACAATATTCATATAGTCAATACCATCAACTACCATATTGAGTCCTTTTCCTAACACATCACTAGCTCCATTCTTACCAAATTCAACATGAGCAATGCTCATAAATAATTGTAAAGGATTGATCGTATAATTTTTTTTACAATGAAAATCTATATACTTCTATTTCCCTGTATTTTCTTGTAAACTAATAAAAAAGAGAGGAAAAAGAAAATTAATAAAGTTTGAACTTTTTGACCTAAAAAATGTTTCAATTTTGGTTTTGAACCCTTATTTTTTTAGGCAAATGATAATATGACTCCGTTTGTTTTATCAGTTAAAAAATATTTTATTTTGTAATTTTAAAAATGACATTTATGAAAATGTCTTTTAATTTTTTTTTATAAATTTAAAGTTTAATTTTGATATCTTATAATATGAATATACATTATTGAAAATTAAAATATAATTATAATTATTTTTAAAAAAAAAATTATATCAAAAATAATTTTTATAAAAAATTATTTGAAATAACTTTTAATTTAGTGATTGTTTAAAAATTTAATATTTGTGAAAAATTACAAAAAAGAAATGAAATGTCATTTTGAAAATAGTTAATCAAATAATTTTTTTATTTAAAGTTTTATAAAAATTTCTTCAAATTTTTTTAAAGTAAAAATATATAATACTATAAAAATCTAAAAAAAAAACACCCCTATGTTATATCCAATACTATATCGTGTATTGGAAGATGGTGGTGTTGGATGGTGATACATATTTTTCTTTAGATATAATGATTATATCTAATACTATATTTTTTTCATGCACATGGTTATAGTGAAACCCCACGCGGTTTCCTAAAAATAGAAGCCAAGTGGGTTTCTTTTTATATCATATAATAATAAAATAATAAAATATTTCCGATCTCAATTATTGTACATAAATTTATGATATAGTTTAATCATCAGAGAAGGAAAAGATAAAACTCCAAAACTTAGAGATGGGGAAGAGTCACTTTGTGTTGATTCATGGAATAAACTATGGTGCATGGTGTTGGTACAAAGTTTCAAGTCTTCTAAAGTCAGCTGGTCATGATGTTACATCTTTGGACATGGCTGCTTCTGGTATCAATCCAATTCAGGTTCAAGATATTTCTTCAATATTAGAGTATATTGAACCTTTGATGAAATTCATGGAATCTCTTCCTTCAGATGAAAAAGTGATTCTTGTTGGTCACAGTTTTGGTGGAATCTACATATCCATGGCTATGGAAAGGTTTCCTCACAAAATCTCTGTTGCAGTTTTTGTTACTGCTTTTGTTCTAACTGAAAATCTCACTCACCCAGATATTATTCAAGAGGTAAATAATTTCTTCTTCTTATGCTTTATTCATTCACTTTCCTTTTGTTGAAATTCAATTCCTAATGCAGTTTAGAAGAAGAAGAGATGGAGAAGAGAATTGGTCAATGGACTCAACAAATTTCTTTTTTGATGGGCCCAATAACCCTCCAACAGCCTTATTATTTGGACCTAAATTTATGGAATGCAAAATGTACCAATTATCACCACCTGAGGTAAATACAAATTTTAAATTGTTTGAAAAATATTATGATCCATTATATTAAATCAATTAACATGTAGGATTTGACGCTTGCATTATCGTTGGTAAGACCATTTCCTCTCTTCAGAGATAAAGAATTATTTCTGAAAGAGATGAAAGTTAGCATGGAGAAAAATGGAAGGGTACCTAAAATCTTCATCATTTGTAAAGGAGACAATATGATAAAAGAGGACTCACAAAGGTGGATAATTCAGAAAAGTGGTCCTTTTGTTGAGGTGAATGAGATTAATGATTCGGATCATATGGTCATGTTTTCCAAACCAAAAGAACTTACCTCTCTTTTACAACAATTTGCAGATAAATATTAATTCAAATCATTTGAGTTTCCACGGAAAAATATGTAAAATTCGATTAAATATTATTGTAGACAAGTTTTAAGTCTACTAAATTTGATTAAATATTATTGTTGACACTTATTTTTATTGTTGTTAGGTTATGTGTAATTTAAAATTGATGTCATAAAAAATAGTGAAAAAAAACTAGGCAATTACTATGCTCAACAAATAAGAGTTGTTTAATAAGAAAATATAAATATTCGGTAGAGTAGTGATACATATATAATTGCCACTAGATTTCCATTCAGCTGTCCACTTTATTGGTTGGAATTTTGACTTTTAACATGATATTTTATAGGGTGGAGAAATTTGAACAGTCCGATCAAAACCGCTCAATCTATTGTTTTTTCTATGTAAATGGATCGGATCGGGCCAGGTTGATTCGATTATTTAATTTGGATAATATTATAGAGTTGATTTGGTCAGACTGAGATGATTATTTTAGATCCGTCTAAAATCAAATATGACCGAATTTAACTAATATTTGTTTTGTATATATTTTTATTACTATAGAGTCTAACTATTATAAAAATGAGGTTCATAATATTATCAAGTTATTATTCTAATATTGACATTGTATACTCACAAAAGTACAAGACATATAATATAAAATTTTGAATATTTTTTAATTTGTTGTTTAAAGTATGATAATGAGGAAGTTAATAGCAAATGATATTTGAAATGTTATAACGTGATAATAACATTTTATTCAATAGTAAAAAGATACTTCTTCTTTGAGTTATTCTAAAATTTTAATAATTTTAAAAAATAAAAATTAAAAGATGAATATTTTTGAATGTTATAAAATATGAGTCATTTTTATAGATTTATCTCAATAAATATTAAAGCGACTAAACCCATTTGGTTTACCCGACAAACCAACTAAACTGAATCAGTAGAAAATCAAAATTTTATCGATCAAAACTGAACCTTAATAATGAAATCGCGATTTGCGTAAGATTTAAGTTTTTGGCCCGGTTTCGATCTAAACCGACCGATTATCCACCCCTAACATGTCACATGTCTTTCAAATCACAACCACTAGTGAAATAATGACACGAACTTTGTATAGTTATAAAATCTGATGAAGATTGTCTCCGGTGAAATAATGGTTCACTGAAATCTAAAACATATATATTAAAAGATATAAAAATATCTATTTCCTTGTGAACTCATCCACAAAAGACACAAAATATCTATTTCCTCCAAGTGAAGATTCTAGAAATGGTCCACAAACGTCATAATGCACTACTCCCAAAGCATATTTTGCTTTTGGGGATACTTTTGACACAAATGGCAATCTGGGCTTCTTGCCTTTCATGCATACCTCACATGACTTCTCAGACTTCACAATCTTCAGAATACCACACACGAGCTTCTTAGAACTCAGACATCCTAAGCTTATGTAGTTCAGATGCCCTAACCTCTTGTGCCATAACTTACTATCACCTTCAACGCCTTCTACACTAAGACACTATGTTTCAGCTGTTTTCACATTTACCTTGAATGTTCTGTTGCTTCCCAACTCATATTGCATAATCAACTTCTTATTAGAATCATACAACATCAAAAGATTATCCTTTATATAACTGAGAAACCTTTCTCAATGAGCTGACCCATACTCATCAGATTACTTTTAGTTCCAGAAACATACCAAACATCCTTGATCAAAACGGTCTTCCCATTCTTCACTTTAACTTTGACATTTCCTATACCTTCTACATTAAGGTATTTATCATCAACACATCTGATTTGTGTCCTCCTTCCGGAGTCAAAATCTATCAGCCATTGTTTATTTCTAGTCAAGTGATTCGAATAGCTAGTGTCCATATACCACCAGTCTGCCAAAAACTTTCCATCAGACTCAGAAGCCATCAATAGCATAGGTTCATCATCAAAATCTCCTATGACTATATTTTCTTCTTCTAATTTACTTTCCTTATTTGACCAACAATCTTTAGCAAAATGGCCAAACTGCTTACAATAGTAACATTGAACCTTCTTCTTGTCAAACTTCTCCTTCCCCTTCTGATGTTTCTTCTTATTAGACGTAGAGGTTTCTAACTTCTGGAATCCATCACCACGTCTATTCTTGGTTTCTGACCAAGAATGCTTTTGGTTCTTCTTGACAAAAGAAGCCTTCAGAGCCTGCTCAACTTCCTTCTCAGAAGTTCTTTCAGTCAGACGAAACTCTTGCGCCTCTAGACTACTTTGCAGCTCTTCTATTCTTATGGTTTCTAGATCTTTAGAATGTTTAATTTCTACAATAATGTAATCAAATTGAGGAGTAAGAGACCTCAATATCTTCTCAATGATTATTTGTTCAGAAAGGGTTTCTCCACAATCTTTTATCTCATTAGTGATCAAAATCACTCTAGAGATATACTCATAAACCTTCACTTTGTTCTTCATGTTGAGATTCTCATATTGCTTCTGTAGGGACTGAATCTTTACCTTCTTCACTGATGCATCACCACCATAACATATGACTAATGTGTCCCATGACTCCTTCGTCATCGTTGAATCAACAATTTTCTCAAACACATTCACATCCACACACTGATGGATGTAGAACAACACCTTATGATATTTCTTCCTCTTGTCTCTCTGTTCATTTCTGTCTTCTTTCATCACATCTGCTGCAACTGGAACATAGCCATTAGTAACAAGCTCAAGAGCATCCTGAGCAGCAAATAACACGTGCATCTGAATCACCCATCTATTCCAGTTCTTGCCATCAAAAACAGGAAGTTTAGTGCTTAAATTACCATTTCCGTTCATCTTCAACCTTGTATAAAACACTCAGATCTCACTAAACACAGTGTTTCTTAATACCTCAGAATCAGAAAATGTGATTCTGTTCATATTTTTTTCAAGATTCAACATGAATTCCAAAACCAAAATCAATCTCACAACGCCTCACCATTTCAATCGTTTTCCCGTGTTTCCCATGAATCAGAACTGTAGCTCTAGATACCAATTTGTTGGTGCACAAGGTGATGATGAACAAAAGAATATATTAAGAGAGCAAAGAGAGTGACGGCTGTAAAAGCTGCAAGAAGAATACATGTTGTTATCTTTATGACATTTACAACTAGTCTATTTATACACAAAAAGGAATGCCACATAGGCTCTAATAGAATATACTTAATAACTAAGTTATCAAAAATAATTATAAATACTAAAATACCCTTCAATAATTTGCTGAGGTGAAAGTGATTAAGGATTTTGATCACATGGTTATGTTCTCTAAACCAAAGAAGTCTACTTCTATCCTTTTAAATATTGCCCAAAAATTGTAATCTTTAAATTATAATAATATATGGTATTCGTGCCTACCATGTCCCAAGCAATTATATGTATGGGTTGGGATTATATTTCTATCATCAATTATTATTGTGAATTCCATTGAATAAGAATAATTGGAGTATGCTCTTGTTTGTTACTTCATTCTTTGTTTCAACAATAATCAAGCTATATCTGATGATGGTGTTCATCCTCAAGTTATCTCAAGCCTCATTAGAGAGAATATTAAAATTTCTAATGAAGTGCTTAAGTCAAAGATAATATAGTTAGCAATCTGAAATTTCAAAAATGTGAAAGAGTAGAAGTATGTAAGCTCTACTACTATAAAAAGTAGATTTCTTAACGAAATTTCACTTCGGCCAAAGTATCCAATGTGGTAGAGCATATTAAATTAGGTGCATTCTTATCATTTTCATTTTAAGCCACTTTTTACCATAGTCAAAATTTTCAAGTTTGGCGAAATGAGGCGCTTGGTCATGGGTTCGAATCCCAACACCAACAATTTTGTTTTATTTATCCATTTTAAGCCACTTTTTACCACTGTTGAAATTTCAACCGTGGTGAAAAATAACATATGGTCATTGTTGTACTCCAAAATTTGCCCTCTCATATTTTCCAATATTTTTTCTTATATGGGTTATTACAAGCACTTGATTAAAGAAAAAAAACAAAATTTTGAAGATAAACAAGGTCTTTCGATTGGCATGTCAAAGGGTCTTTCGATTGGCATCTTGACAGGCTTCGATTGAACACCTAACCTCCTCCAAGCTTGCTTCAAATTTCCAAGCTTCGATTGAAGCCTTGGCCTGTTGCTTTCTTGATGCATACAAGCTTCGACTGGGCATGTATTTCCTTGGAAACAACTTCCTTCGATTCAGAAAGGAAGGGCTTCATGTTGGTGATCCTTCGATTGAACCTTTTGGCTTTACATGCTGACTTGATTTACAATGCAATGGCTACCTGCATGCAAGCTTAATTCATGTTTTGTTTGAGCATTTGTTTTCTTTGGAGTAGGCTTGATTCCTGCTTCTACAAGGCAAATACTCCCTCTATGCGTGCCTTCAGCACACAAAGCAAGAAACCCCTACAGGTGTGTTTTGATTCACCAGCAAATGAATTCCTGCATGCCAGCTTCGTTCAAGGAAAAGGCCCCTTTCTACTTGCCTTCAATTCACAAGGAACATGGCTTCTCCATAATTGCCTTCAATTTACAAGGCAAAAGGTTCCCTCTTCATGCCTGCTTTCGTTTCACAAGCACAAGATTGACACACCAATGGTGCCTTTGAAGGACATGCCATTGGTCCATTCAAAGGAAACATTTGTTGGAAACAAACCTTTTTTGCCTTTTGAGGAGGCTTGGTTCAAGATGCTTGTTGGGCAAGAGATTATATACTGCCCAGCCCAAGCCTCATGACAAAGGAGGCTTCGATGGGCCAGAATGAAGTCTTCGTGTGGGTTATTCGAATCAAACAGCTAAGGCAAATAGAGGGGCTCAATCGAAGAAACCCCAAGGGTGAGATATGAGCCATTCAAAGGACACACCTTGGAGGCTCATTCGAAGAGTACATAAAAGGTCCATTCAAAAGACCCAGTCGAAGGAGGCAACCAAAGGCCCATTCGAAAGGTACACAAAAGGGTCCATTCGAAGTAACATTAAAAAGGCTCAT